CGGCGCGGCTGCCATCGCGCACCCGGGCCGGTGCGCACCGCGAGCGGCCGCTCCTGCGCCTCGGGGCCTCCTCCGGCCGTGGGAAAGGGATGAGCGCCAGGCCGAGCCTCGGGCCCTGCGACCCCTTCGCGGCGCGGCGGGACGGCAGGGGCCTGCGGCCGGGGCTACGTGGAGGGAATCCCGGTCCACACGGGGCTGGGAGCCAGAGGGGTGCTCGACCCAGCCCAGATACCTTCCCTGGCTCCGGCTGCAATTCGCACCAAGACCTCACTGAAATGCGGCGCGGCTCCCCAGCCTAAAGTAACTCGCAATTGGAGCGTGTAGCCCTGGCTTCTACGAAGTGCACTCTCGGCCTTACTCTTCTATTGAAATTACTGGCTGATCCCTTGGAACTGCATACTTTTAAGAAAGGCACAAGTGCACATCCCAATATTGAGAAGGAAAAACAAAAGCACAATACTTACTACACTAAGGACTGAGAAAATGGGACGTGGGGCTCGCTCGGATCAGCTTTAAAACGAAGCAGGCACAACACTTAAATGATTCCAAAAGTGTCGAGAGCACGATAAAGAATTGTTGATGGGGTTCTGTGTTAATTAACCACAAGAGAAACCATACTCCAGAACGGGTTGGCGCGACGTACTTTAACACGGAACCCAGAGTTAGCGGGTGCAGTTTTCCCACCGGAAATAGGGATAGAGGCAGCCTTCCCTACTGCGCACGCGCAATACCTCTTACTCTAGGATGGATGTGGTGGGTATTTTATGTGTAGTAGCGGCAGTCCTCGCTTTGGGGTTCTGGGTTTGGGATACCCCATTAAGAATGAAGAATCAAGAGCAAGCAGGCTTGTTGGGTGCTGGAGGCCGGACCCTGCTGGTGATCGCGCACCCAGATGATGAAGCCATGTTCTTTGCTCCCACAGTGCTAGGCTTGGCCCGCCTAGGGCACCGTGTTTCCCTGCTTTGCTTCTCTGCAGGTAGGTGGAGGCCGTAGGTGGGGCACTGAGCGCCGGGGCTGTAAAGGGGATTTAAGTGCTAATCAATCTAAACTTCTCAAAGCATTTTCTGATGTAAAGAGCTAAGTTATATACACCTAATTCTGGATCTCTCACAGACTGGGGACGGAAGCGGCCGTTTTTCCAGGTGGGTTGGAGGACGCCTGCAACTCAGGTACTCCCCTCCAGTAGAAGGACTGAGGAGCAAAAAAGCAGTTACTTGCACACAGTTACTTTCAACGTCCTTTGGGAACTGTGCTTGTAGTAGTTATTCTGTGGAACCTTTCATTTGCAGAAGGACCAAGAATAATGATCTTACTATATAGCACACCAAACAGAAATCAATACTGTATCGTGCTTGCTCTGGCCTTAAAGTTTCACCTCTAACAATAGCAAAGTACCTCCGCAGTGGTTTTAAAATCAAGTGTAAGAGAATGCATGTATCAAACTGAAGAAGTAAACTCAGAAGATTGGAAGGTAATTTTGTGTTTTTTTAGAGTTCAACTCCAGTCAACTTTTCTGTGAAAGTTTCACAGAATAGGTCTTTCTTTACAATACAGAAAGGATCAAATGAGAAAATGAATATTGACCATGATACCAGATTATTGGATAATTGGATAATAGTTGTATAAATAAAGTAATTGAACTGTCCCCACATATGGATGAGTATGTCAAATTATACTAAAATAAAGCTGTTTTTAAAAATTACTCATGACCTCTTTTCCCATTTGGTTGTGTGTGGTTCCAATTCTTTTTCTATGCAGATTTTTCACAGAAATCACCTTTTATAAAATTTTATATTCTT